GCGAAGTGACGGGCGAGGCTGTCTCGCTGAGTTTTTTGCGAGCGAGTGCCGCGAGCGTGACGCTTACGGAGGCAATTACCTGGTGTCGGGGAGCGCCACTGAGGTTATGAGCGGCGATGGACGGTGCGGGTCTCGCATGGCCGTGTGATGGCTTCGGCTTGGTTCATTGAGTTCAGGCAGCGATTGCCATGGCTGCTGCACGTGGACTGATGTTGTCGTTGGCCGGTGTGTCGGTCGCGGCGATCAAGGCCTTCCATGCCCGCTCGAAGCGGCCGGATTTGATCAGGGCGCGGAAGGTCAGAACAGCCTGTCCGCCGGCGATCCGCCAGCGCATGCCGGAGCGCTTCATGCGCTGTGTCACCAGGGTCTTGTTGGCAGCCTCGACCACGCCTGAGCCGATGGCGATGCCCTCTTCCTTCAGGGCGTGGTAGCGCATGCGATGGCGATGCTTGCGGAAGAAGGCGAGTTCCCGCTCGATCTCGGCCCGGTCCGGCGTAGCGGCGGCATCGCGAAGGTGGCGCAGCGCCCGGATCACCTTGGCGACGCCACGGGGGTCGTGACGGAGGATCTCGCGGTACTTCTCGAACCAGCCGAGTGCCACGGCATGGTCGGACGCGGTTTGCAGATGTTCGCAGGCATGCCAGAAGTCGATCACCTCGGTTTCGGCGACAGGGTCTCCAGGAAGGTCCAGTTGTCGGCGGCGCCATCGGCGACAGCGACGATCCCGATGCTCGGGGCGCGCTCGCCTGATTGTGCGACTTCGCTTGCAAGCTGCGCGTTCAGCGTGAGTCTTGCCGCTCTCCGCATGCGAGCCGAGATAGGAGGGTCTTCAGGCCTTGCCCTCGGCGTCGTGGAAGGAGACCGTGCCGCAGCGGCCCTCGCGCCAGGATGCCTTGGCGCGACCGTCCTCGCCGGGTCTCAGCGGCACATGACGCCGTCGAGGGGGCTCTGTTGCAAAGTCCGGCTGGTTGGTGACGTGTCTGCGTGATCTGCCGAGAGGGGTTGAGGCATGAGCGACTTCAAGGGACGTCACTTTCCGGGGGGAGATCGTGCTCTGGGCCGTACGCTGGTACTGCCGGTATCCGATCAGCTACCGCGACCTCGAAGCGATGATGACCGAGCGCGGCGTCGCGGTCGACCACTCCACGATCTATCGTTGGGTGCAGCGTTTCGCGCCGGAGATGGAGAAACGTCTGCGCTGGCAGTGGCGCCGGCCGCAGTCGCGGAGTTGGCGCGTCGACGAGACCTACATCAAGGTCCGCGGCAAGTGGGCGTATCTGTACCGGGCGGTGGACAAGCTCGGGAACACGATCGATTTCTACCTCTCGGCGACCCGCAACACCAAGGCAGCGAAGCGATTTCTCGGCAAGGCGCTGAGAGGATTGAAGGAGTGGGAGCAGCCCGAGGTGCTCAACACCGACAAGGCGCCGGCCTATGCCGCTGCCATCGCGGAGCTGAAGGCCGAGGGCAAGTGCCCGAAGGACACGAGGCACAGGCAGGTGAAATACCTCAACAACGTCATCGAGGCCGACCACGGCAAGCTCAAGCTGCTGATCCGGCCCGTGCGCGGGTTCAAGACGCTGAAGACGGCCTACGCCACGATCAAGGGCTTCGAGGTGATGCGCGCGCTGCGCAAGGGCCAGGCCGGGATGTTCGCCCTCCAGGGCGGCATTGTCGGCGAGGCCCGGATCGTCGAGCGCGCCTTCGGTCTCGGACCGTGCGCCCTGACCGAGGCCATGGCATGGCTACAGGACCGTCTGGCCAACGCAGAATCATAAGGTGAACAGGAAGCCCCCTGATCACGCATCGCCCCTTCGCCAAGCTTGCAACGAGCCGACTATGGCACGTGGCGCTTGAGCAGGAACTGGTTCTTGAACATGCCGAGCCGGGTCATGACCTCGACATGCGCGATATCGGGCTGGCCATGGATGTGTTCGTTGAGGAAGTGCGCGAGCTCGGTTTCCTCGTCGCACACGACCTCGACCAGGAGGTCGAAGCGGCCGCTGACCCACATGACGTAGACAACGGCGGGGTGGGGATCGAGCCGCTGCGCGATCTCGGCCGGGGCGACACCCGGCGCGGTCTTGATGCCGAGCATCGCATCCGACTCGTAGTCGACCGCCACAGGTCGACCACTGCCACGATGCGGAGCATGCCGGCCTCGCGCATCCGGGCCACCCGGTTGCGGACCGTTCCGCCCGACACGCCGAGTCTGCTGCCCGATCACGTCATAGGCGGCGCGCCCGTCGTCCTGAAGCAGCGATGATCTGCTGGTTGAGATCGTCGTGGGGAGACGACAGTCGCGAGACATCACCGTCCTTGGGTCGCTGCCTGAACCGTGCTCAGCGTCGATCGGGGCATGTGCTCAGCTCCTGGCTCCGCTGGACGAGGGGTGCAGTCGCCGTTGCCGAATCACTATCCAGTTCCGGATTTTGTTCGAAGGATCATATAGTCCAACAATAATTATTAATTTTAATATTTTCGTATTATCGTATCGATTCGTCACTCATCCTGAGCGCCACGGAGCGAGGACAACCCCGATGACTGCGATAGCACGGACCATGGCCGAGGCGCTCCCTCCCATCGAGCGCGTCCGCGAAGAGAAGGCGAAGCTCGCCGAGGCGGGGGTCCGCTACGTGTTCTCCTGCTGGATCGACATGCACGGCCTGCCGAAGACCAAGCCGGTGCCGATCAGCGATTTCGAGAACCTGTGCATGGGCAAGGGGCCGCAGTTCGCCGTGCACTCGATCTCCTTCGTGCCCGAGCTGGGCGCGGCGGACTCCGACCAGATCCCGGTGCCCGACCTCGACTCCCTGGTCATCTGCCCCTGGGACCCGACCTGCGCCTGGATGTTCGCGGATCTCTGGTGGGAGGACGCGCCCTACAACCTGTGTCCCCGCCAGGCGCTCAAGCGTGTGATGCATGATGCGGCGGCCAAAGGTTTCGTGGGGTACGCGGGCATCGAGCCCGAGTTCATCGTGATGCGCTGGCAGTGACGGCAAGCCGGTCAAGGCGTTCGACAACGATCCGCTCCCCGGCGAAGGCGTGCGGCCGAGGCGTCAGGCCTTCGGCTACGACATCGAGTACACCGTCGATTCCATGGGCTTTCTCGGCGCGGTCATCGACATCCTCGAAAATCTCGGCTGGGGACTGAAGGATGTTGTCTGCGAAGGCGCCTACTCGCAGTTCGAGCTCGACTTCGGCTACACCGACCTGCTCGAGATGGCCGACCGCCTGGTGTTCCTGCGCGTGCTGCTGAAGGAGGTCGCCAAGAAGCAGGGCCTCTTCGTCACCTACATGCCCAAGCCCACCATCGGCGACTGGCGCTCGGGCGCACACATCAACTACTCGATGCAGCGGGTCGACAACCCTGGGGTGAACCTCTTCGGAGACAACGACTCCGGTTGGGCGGACGCCGCCTACCACGCGGTCGGCGGGCTGCTGCACCACGGCGGTGCGCTCACTGCCCTCACCTGCACGAATGTTAATTCGTACAACGGTCTGGTGCCCCGGGTGGGCGGGTTCGAGGGCGGCACCGTGACCTGGGCGCCGACCCACATGACCTATGGCAACAACAACCGCTCCGCCATGTTGCGCCTGCCGCAGAACCGCTTCTGCATCGAGAACCGCGCGTCCGACCTCTGCATGAATCCGTACCTCGCGCTCGCGATGACATCCGCAGCCGCGGTCGCCGGCGTAACCCAGGGCATCGATCCCGGGCCGCCGCTGAACAAGGACCTCTACGACCTCACGGACGAGGAGATCCGCGCCAGCGGCGGGCAGCGCCTGCCGCGGAACCTGCTGGAAGCGACCGAGATTCTGAAGGACGACCGCTGGCGGCCGAGGTGCTGGGCCCGACGATGCTGAACTCCTGGCTGCGCTACAAGGTCGACGAGTGGGAGCGCTACCACCAGGCGGTGACGGACTGGGAGGTGCAGGAGTACCTGCGTCTCTATTGAGCCACGCTCCGGAGCGTGCCGCCGGAGCGGGTGTGAGGTCTGCTGAACGTGGCGCTTGACCACGAGATATTCGAGCTCGGCGCGGTGACGCTGCAGTCCGGCGACACGCTGCCGGACGCGAAGCTCGCCTACAAGACCTACGGCTCGCTCAACGCGCGCGGCGACAACGTGATCGTCATGCCCACCTTCTACACGGGCACGCACGTGCGCAACGAGGGCTACCTGCGGGCGGTGCCGGCGCTCGATCCTTCGCGCTACTTCATCGTCTCGATCAACATGTTCGGCAACGGTCTCTCATCGTCGCCGAGCAACACCGCCCCGCCCTTCGACGGCCCGCGCTTCCCCGCCGTCACCCTCCACGACAACGTCGCCTGCCAGCACCGGCTGCTCACCGAGGCGCTCGGCGTGAAGCGCATCGCCCTCGTGCTCGGATGGTCGATGGCCGGCTGCCAGTCCTATCAGTGGGGCGCGCAGTATCCCGACATGGTGGACGCTATCCTGCCGTTCTGCGCCTCGGCGCGGACCTCGCCACACAACAGGTATTCCTGGAGGGAGTGAAGGCGGCGCTCACGGCGGACAAGACATTCGCAGGCGGCGACTACACCGCGCCGCCGGAGGCGGGTCTCAGGGCCTTCGGGCGGGTCTACGCGGGATGGGCCTACTCGCAAGCGTTCTATCGCGAGCGCCTCCACCGCGCGCTCGGCTTCGAGACCTGGGCGGAACTGCTGCTCGACTGGGAGCGCGATCATCTCGAATGGGACGCCAACGATCTGCTGGCCAAGCTCCATACCTGGCAGCTGGGCGACATCAGCGCCAACGAGCGCTATCGGGGCGACTTCGAACGCGCACTCGGCGCATCCGGGCGCGCGCGATCCTCGTCCCCTGCACGACGGATCTCTACTTCCCGCCGGAGGACAACGCCATCGAGGTGGAGCACATGCCCAACGCCGCGCTCAGGCCCTACGAGTCGCCCTGGGGCCACTGCGTGGCGTCGCCGAGCCGCGAGGGCAGCGACTTCATGCGTTACCTGGATTCCTGCGTCGCGGAGCTGCTGGCGGATTGAGAGCGCTCTCGGCGGAATTCCCGCCGCATCGTCGCCCCGATCTCACGAACTCTCGAACGTGTTCCTGGCCCGCGGCGGCGGCCGAACCATGGGTGGCGGGAAACGCGGGCTCGTGACACCATGGCTGCTCGACCGATCCAGACAAGAGGCGCCGCCATGACTCCTGAGCAGGTGCTTGCCCATTCGCCCAAGGTGCTGACAGAGACGCAGCGGGAAGCCTACTTCCGCGACGGCTATCTGCTGCTGGAGCGCTTCGTGCCTGACGACTGGCTCGCCACGCTGCGGGGGCTGAGCGAGCGTTTCATTGAGGAGAGCCGGCGGCAGACCGTTTCCGACGACAAGTTCGACCTGGAACCCGATCACTGCGCAACCGCGCCCCGGCTCAGGCGCCTGACCCAGCCGGTGGCGCATCACCCCGACTATTGGCGCTTCGCGAGCGATTCGATCATCACCGACCTCGCCGAGGACCTGCTCGGGCCCGACGTGATGTTCCACCACTCCAAGCTCAACTTCAAGTGGTCGAGCGGGGGCGAGGAGGTAAAGTGGCACCAGGACATCCAGTACTATCCGCACACCAACTACAGCGTGCTCGCCATCGGCGTCTATCTGGAGGACGTGGACGATTCGATGGGGCCGATGGGCGTGATCCCCGGGGCCCACGAGGGCGAGCTGTTCAACCTCTATGACCAGAACGACTGCTGGGCCGGCGCCATCGGTAACCGCGACCTCGCGCGCGTGCCGGTGGAGAAGGCGGTCTACCTTCAGGGCCCGGCCGGCTCGGTGACGGTTCACCACTGCCGCATGATCCACGGCTCGCGGCCCAATCAGAACCCGTCACGCTCGCGTCCGCTGCTTCTGAATTCCTTCTCGTCCGCCGACGCGCTGCCGGTGACGCCCAACCCGACGCCTGCTCCCCAGTGCGGGGAAATCCTGCGCGGCAAGCGCACGCGGTGGATCCACTACGATCCCAGGCCCTGCCTCATGCCGCCGGACTGGTCGGGTGGCTACACCTCGATCTTCGCGGTGCAGCAGAGTGAGGAGAGCGAGCAGCAGGCCGCCGTAGGGCTAGCCGTCCTTGCCCGACTGGCCGCTTGACCGGCCGCGCCTGACCCTTTAGGGAACGCCGCGCCGGCGGGGCAGCGCGACGACGGAGGGCCGTGGCGCTCGCGGGGCGTTCCTGCGGGCGCTTTGCTTTGGCGCATAGCGACGCAGGCGTCGCCGCGCGCGGCCGGCGGAACAGGCAGGGGGGAGGCAATGAGCAGCAACAAGCGGGTTCTCATCCTTGCCGGCGACGGCATCGGGCCCGAGGTGATGGGCCAGGTCGAGCGGGTCATGGAGTGGCTCTCCGCGCGGCGCTCGTTCTCCTTCGACGTGCAGAGCGGACTCGTCGGCGGCGTCAGCTACGAGGCGCACGGCACGCCGCTCACCGACGAAACCCTGGCGGACGCGGTCGCGGCCGACGCCGTCCTCTTCGGCGCGGTCGGCGGGCCGCAGTGGGATAGCGTGGCCCGCGAGGCGCGGCCGGAAATGGGAATCCTGCGGCTCCGCAAGGAAATGGACCTCTACGCCAATCTGCGCCCGGCACTGGTCTTCGATCCGCTGGTCGAGGCCTCGACGCTGAAGGACGAGGTGGTGCGCGGCCTCGACCTGATGATCGTCCGCGAGCTCACGGGCGGCATCTACTTCGGCGAGCCGCGCGGCGTGGAGACGCTCCCTGACGGCACGCGGCGCGGCTTCGACACCGAGGTCTACAGCGCGCCCGAGATCGAGCGGGTCTCACGCGTCGCGTTCGAGCTTGCCCGGAGGCGGGACAACCGGGTGCACTCGGTCGAGAAGGCCAATGTCATGGAATCCGGCAAGTTCTGGCGGGACGAGGTGACGGCGCTGCACGCGGCCGACTATACGGATGTCGCGCTGGAGCACATGTACGCCGATAACTGCGCCATGCAGCTCGTGCGCCGGCCCAAGCAGTTCGACGTAATCGTCACCAGCAACCTGTTCGGCGACCTCTTGAGCGACTGCGCGGCGATGCTGACCGGCTCGCTCGGCATGTTGCCCTCGGCCTCCCCTCGGCCCGTCCGACGAGGGCGGAAACCGCAAGGCGCTTTACGAACCCGTGCACGGGTCAGCGCCCGACATCGTCGGCCAGAATCTGGCCAATCCGTTGGCGGCGCTTCTCAGCTTCACGATGATGCTGCGCTATTCGTTCGGCGCGGCAGACGACGCCGACCTCATCGAGGCGGCCGTTCAGGACGTGCTGGCGGGGGGCTTGCGCACCGCCGACATCATGCAGGACGGGATGACGGCAGCTTCGACCGATGCCATGGGCGATGCCGTCCTCGGCGCGCTCGACGCGCGCGCCGCCTGAGCACGCCAAAGGGAGTCCGAACCATGGGCTATCGCGTCGCCGTCGCCGGCGCCACCGGCAATGTCGGGCGCCAATTGCTCGCCGTACTCGCCGAGCGCAACTTTCCTGCC